CCGGACAGCTACGAATACAACAAACCACGCCACCCGTACAGGAATGTATAAATTCCCCAAAAAAAAAATCCCAAAATAAACACCCGCAAACAAGTCGTCAACATCACCCCATAATCCATCACCCCTTCGTCCAAGTCATCATCAGTACCGCCGCTGTCGTACCCACATTGCACACGACTACAACCCGTATGAAGAAACAAAGCAATGGACTTGTCGACATCGAATAGCGCCCTATGTCGTCGACCGACCACGTATGGCAGCAGCAATCTCCATCAAAGCATGGCACATCATCCTCTGCGTTTCTTCCGAGGCCGTGTAATGTGCTTTCTGAACTGCGACTTCTTGCTCCAATATATCGCATTGCCTAGTGAGAATGTTGCACTGCCGCTTGCTGGAAGTGTCTATTATTGACGACATCAATTCTCCATGACGGTCCATCACATCAGCGATGGACTCTAGCGCCTGCTTCCGCGCATTCTTCCGCTTACCACATCCTGCCCCGCTGCCTGCGTTGGTATCACAGTCTCTCGCTGACGACCATTCTTCAGGGCACGCATCACCACCATCCTCACTACCCACGGACTCCCCGCCGGTCGTTCCCCGTCTGGGCAACTGCACGCCTTCCGGATGACCGGTGTCCGTGATGTTCGGCGGGAAAATCGTGTGATTCCCCAGCATGCTCCCGTGTATCTCGTTGTACACTACCTTATCCATTCGAAATTTGAAGTTCCTCTCCTTCCTTTCTTCATTCGACAGTCGGAAGAAATCGGCCTCGCCACTCATGTTGTGGACACGCAATATCTTCTTGTAGTTCTGAAAAAGGTTATCCCACTTTTTTCATGCAGTCATCCGCGTCCGTAGGCTTCCCCGCCAACGCCATTCGTTTCGATATGTCGTCCCACTTCCACTCTTTCGTCCTCATCCGTCCGTAGTTGTGTCCTAGCCCTACAAGGTGCATCTCCTGCTCCCTCTTGCACCGCACGAGTACCAGCTGACTGTTCGTAGACCAGTAGGATGTCGATTTTCCCCCCTCGCTGGTGCCCCCCCCTCTCCCGCCCCGGCCCGCGGACCGGCCTCGACCACCTGCTCTACCACGCCCCCTACCCCCGCTACCACTCTTCCCCAAAGGCCGAATTAGCGTTTCGTCGTCGTCGTCCTCAAGCTGCTTTGAAGTCCTCCTTGCACCCTTCGTCGGCATCGTCACCATACCCGCCATTGTCCTCGCCGCCATCGCTGTTGGCCGTCATGTTCGACACTCCTCTGGTACTATTCTCCACGGAGGTTTGTGAACGCAACGATGCTCTAGTCGGGGCGTCGTTGCTCATTTCGGCATCACGTGGCACACCTGCTGATGAGAGATCTGTTCGTCCAGACACCACCCGCACCAGCGCAGCCCCGATTCCGGTGCGTGCTGGCGAGTTATTGACGATGCATTCGACTGCGGCCACAGTCGATCCACGCTGCCGCGGCAAAGGTGATGACCCCGCACCTCCAGTCACGGATGCCTGCCCATGGACTGCAGAGTGCTCCGTTTGCTCACTTCGTGGTCACTGGAGGAATCGAGGTGAAGATTGTGGTTCGATGATGAACGTTCGACTCGCATCCCTCGCGCCAGCAGACGAGAATGAAGACAACCTCAGAGCGACGTCTCCGCCACCGCTGCAATCCAATCCTCCATGCAGAAGGGAAGTGAATTCACCACCTTCGTTGTCTGCCGACCCGCCAGCTGTCAGCGTATGGGTGAACAACAATTGGGTTGATCTGCTTGCCAATGGCATCGTCCCTGGTTCCTCGGTGTCCACCTCCTCATCTGATGGCGGCAGCGGAGTCTCCCACGATGGAAGATGCCTGTACAACGACGGGTCGTAGCGCCGCGGGGCACTAGCCCCCGCCAACTCACCACGGCCTGACCTCTCACCTGCCCGCCACCTGCATGCATGTTCGCCATGTTCTTGTCACTGCGCGCGCTCTTTGTGGACCACCTCTTCTTGCGGCTCGTCTTCCAAGGCCGCCACGACAAGCAGACGCGGAGGAAGACGACAAAAATGAAGACAACGACGGCGAGTACCAGCAGGGGCAACCTACGCTGCACGTCTGCGATGAAGTCCACAGAACAACGCTGTCCTATCACAACACCGCACTCAAGAATGTCGGCAGTACACGACAAGGCGAGACCTTCATATGACCGCAACCGACACAGAAGACGACGAAATGGGAGGACGACAAATTCAGAATCCGACCGTTGGTGCTGAAATGGGAGGGCGACGAATTCAGAAGTCGATCGTTGGTGCCCGTGCACTGCCGTCCCACACCCACCTCAAACTACAAGCGCACGCTTCCCTTCTCCTGCCCTTCACTCCAGCACCCAACGCTCGACTACGGAAGCCCAGCCACCCAGGGTCCCCCGCCGCCTACGCCAGCCCTCCACTAGCCCGTCACGCCGCGGCGCAGCGACCCTCCAACAGCCAACTTTCATGGCCGTTGCCGCCGTCGGACCACGTAATACCTCCGTTGTCTGGCCGCCCGGTTCTGTACCACCACTTCCGAGACGGCGATGTGCTGCGCGCGACGCCACGACTCCGTAAACTGTGGAAATCCTAAATTTTTCAGTAGCCCCGGGGCTACTGAAAAATTTAGGACAATTTGGCTGGGGAATCCTAAATGATTTAGGACGAGTCCTAACGCCGTTTTCACATCTCCGATCGCCGAAATTGATTTAGGATTGCGTGCAACCGAAATGCAATCCTAAAAACTGGAACTTTTAGGAGTGTCTAACGAGACCCTGAGAGAGAAACAAAGAGAAA